CGAGAGCCGCGGCCACAGGGGAGCCAGTGCTACTGCAGGGGATATGGCCCTGGTGCTGCTGCAGGGCACACAGGCACTGGTGCTGCTACAGGGGACATGCGCCGTGCAGGTGACATGGACAGGGACCTGCAGCAGGGGACACAGGGGCAGGAGACGGGGGCTCTGCCTTACCCAGATGAGCAGCTGCGTGAAGACCACGTTGGCCATGGCGCAGGAGAGGTGCAGGGCCGTGCGGCCATCCCCGTCCCCGTAGGTCTCGTTCACCTCCTCCTTGGTGCCGTGGGCCAGCAGCGTCACCACCAGGCGCAAGTCGTCCTCCACCACCGCCCGCAGCAGCTGCTGCCCCAGCGGGATGTCCGACTGCGGCAGCGGAACCAGGAAGAGCTTCTGCTCGTACTTGGCCCGGATCCAGCGCTCCTTCTCCTCCCTGCCAGGTGGGACATGGTTGCTGTCGCGGGCTGCACTGGGCTGCCCAGCCCCATGGATGCCCCATGCACGCGGCAGGACGGGCTGCACAGATGTAACATGGTGCTGCTGCCCGATGCCTGCTGTGGATGCTGCACTGGGTGCTGTGAGGACGCTAACCCTGGTGCAGCCAGTGCGCTCATCCCACAGCATGAACTGCTGCATGGGCGCTGCCCCCGTCATGAACTGCGTGCTTATCCCGCTGTTCCCAGCATGAACTGTACACTTATCCCACTGCTCCTGGCACGAACCGCACTCTTATCCTGCTGCAGCGCACTGCTCCCGCACTCTGCCCACACTCCTCCACGGCCCACGCTTGCGCCCTGGGCAACCTGTCCCAATGAGCAGCCACTGCGTCCCACCCCATGTCTGCTGCAGCGGAGACGTGTGTCCGCACCAGTGCCCCAGCACCCACTCGCTGCAGGTCCATTGCTGGGCAGCAGGGCCATGGCCGTCCCACGCGCAGGCCTTGGCCAGCGGCAGAAAAGGTTAGTGGCAGCAGAGGCCGCGGGAGGCCCCTTATCGGCACTGCCGTCTCGCGCGGCGCGCACAAAGCGCCGGCAGGCGCGTCCCGGCGGGGCTGCCGGCGCAGATCGATGTGGCAGCACCGCTGCTATCTTCTGCCTTTCTCTCCATCTGCACCTGGCGCGCGGCCATCAAAGCGGCGCGCGGCGCAAGCTGCGCACTCACTGGCGGCTGC